GAAACCAAAACGCTGGGAGGCCCCAAAAGACTCAACAGACTCAATCTTTTGGGGGTCTTGGGGGACTAGCCTTAAAATCAATAAGATTGAGGCCTCTCAGTGTTTCGGAATCTGGAAGCTGCAAAACACTGAGAGGCCTCAATTTTTCTGAGGTTCGGGATTCCAAAAGATTGAGGCCTCTCAGTGTTTTGGAATCTGGAAGCTGAAAAACACTGAGAGGCCTCAATTTTTCTGAGGTTCGGGATTCCAAAAGATTGAGGCCTCTCAATGTTTTGGAATCTGGAAGCTGCAAAACACTGAGAGGCCTCAATTTTTCTGAGGTTCGGGATTCCAAAAGATTGAGGCCTCTCAGTGTTTTGCAGCGCCCAGAGTTCCAACAGTCTCCCTCGACCTCCGAAAGATTGAGTCTTTTAAGAAACTAGGTCTTTGGGAACGCCGCTCCATTCGGGTACACCCCGCCCCGACCCACCCTTGCCTTTCAAAAAGACCAAAAAGGGTAGGTCAATGGGGGGGGGGGTACCATATATATGTATATATGTATATATACATATATATATACACTTATATATATGTATATATATACATATATATATATATTTATATATACATATATATATATATATGTATATATATATATATACATATATATATATATATATATATTTATTGTATAACTCTAAGACTGAAGATGTCGATTATCCAAAATGGAAGACATTTTATAAGAAGCATAACATGTCAATTAATGGCTTATCATAGAACACTTGTAGTATATAACCTCGTCTTATACAACATGTGAGGTACAACGCAATATTTTCTGTTCGTTTGACATTGTCTATTACATCGTACAACCTTGCCAAGCTGTCCAGGAGACATTCCTTCTTTGGGATGGCCTGCTGCATAGCACCACTCAGCCAATACCGTCAGGGGCATTAAGGCGGGGAACGAGGGTTTTACAAAGAAAGCACAGAAAGGGTTCGTTTGCAACTTTTGTGTAAGGCGGGGAACATTCCTACCTTCATCCGGCACTGCCGGATCGAAAGAGTCCAGGGTCTGGTGTCAGGGTTTGGGTTGAATTGCTCGTCCTTATTCTGATGGCTGTGTGATCGGGCATCCAAGTGGTCCGAGGCTGATAGAAACAGCCTGAAACAGGATCGGTTAGGCACCTGCCGCAACCCACGGTGTCCCACCAGAGCCGTCTTGAAGATTTCTGGATTCTTGGCACCTCAGAGCTTGCTTTTTCATTGAGGGTTGACCAGTATTTGTCATGGCTTTTCGATGGCTTTGTTTTGCGGCTTCTTCATGCAAGTCCCGATTAATACAGTATCTCGTCGTTGGTGCCTCGCATGGCAACCTAAGTCATTCAAACTGCGAAGCCTATGTGGCTTTCTTACGCACGGATCAAATGGGAAGACGATGTTCAAGTTCTTTGTGCTGCTAGCTTGTCCGGAGGTATCTTGACTGCCGAGCCATTTCCACCCTTGTAGCTGCAGGTATCCCGGTGCGGGACCAGGTGCATCAGCACAAGCCACAACTGCTGCAGCAGAGGCCGCAGAGGCGCGTCATGTGACGACATGGTTTGCGGTCTTTAGTCCTGGGACCTTCGACGAAGGGCCTTCAGTAAGCCAGTTCACCTAAACAGGTACAACTTGCGTAGACATTCATTCTTCAACAGCCCTAAACCGTTAAACCCTGAGCCCTAAATTCTAAATGGTGCCAGACACAAATCCCCAAGATCATTTTCACAAGATGCAATGATATCGACCGTGCTCTTGCAACAAATCTCGTCGTAGCCGCATGTTAAATCAGAAATCTGATGCCATTTCAGATCATATCATGCCTGTTTTAAGTATCATGTCATAACATCTCATATCTTACCGTTTCATAGCATCATACCATGTCATCCCACGTCATGCCATGCCATGTCAGGTTATGTCATGCAGATATCATATCTTATCATATTATAGCGTGTCATATCATGTCATGCCGTATCATATATTATCATATAGCGTCATACCATGGCGAGATATAGTGTCACCTCACATCATGTCATGCCACATAAGCTCACACCATGTCATACTTCATGAGCATACTATATCATATCATACCACATCATATCATACCATATCATATCACTTCGTTTCATGCCATGTCATATCAGAGTGTGCCATTCCAAGTCACACCGACATGCTTAACTTCGTTCCGTTTCATCTTACGATTTACTATGGTGCAGGTAGTTCAGCTGCAAAACCCAGTCGATTTTTGTGCGCTTTTCCTGTCGCAGTGCCGCTATGAGCGTGTTTGTGTGTGGTGTGTGTGTGTGTGTGTGTGTGTGTGTGTGTGTGTGTGTGTGTGTGTTTGTGTGTGTGTGCGCGTCCTCGTGTGTGTGTGTGTGTGTGTGTGTTTGTGTGTGTGTGTGTGTGTCTGTATGGGTCTGTGTGCGTCTGTGTGTGTCTGTGTGTGTGTGTGTGGTTTCGCGGCTTTCAATGTCACGGCTTACAGAGGCCTCCGCGCAGCTTCCCCTCGCTGATTTCGCGGCGGCAGCGCTGCTGCTGCGGATGCGGCGTCCGGGGCCTTAACGGAAGTTGGACTAAGGGATACACTGGATACAGGATCGATTACAGCAATGAAACAGCTCTGAAGTGGATGCGTCCTTGTGTGTATTTGTTGGTCTTCCTGGTTTGTGTTTGTGTGGTTTATAGTGCGTGTGTTTGTGCATCGTGTTCTTTCACATGCCATCATGCGTGCTCATGCTGGCTCTGCGGCTCTACAGTCTGCTAGCGGAGACATTTTGCATTGCTGTTGCTCGCTCCTTGTGCACGCAAGAAGTCTGGTTGGAGTATCCCCGGAAACATACACAGACTGCAGATATCGTCGCTGTTCTCTTATAACCGAGCACATCCAGACCGAGTGACTAGTCTTGGCCCCAGTCTGTCTAGAAATCACTCGTATGTCGGCTGCTCAAGAGATATTCAATATCTGATATTGCCGTGCATCTAAAGGACCAACCAGAAACCCTCAACGAAGTCAAAGCCCAAGGGTTCCTTTAAGGGCTTAAATGCTTTCGGATCGTAAGCTGCTGAGGCGACCTGCTTAGACTGGATCAGACGGAGTGCCTCCGACGACTGGGCCCTAGCAGTGTTCAAAAGCCAACAGGATCCTGTTTGCAGGAACTAGAATGGAGTCCATAGGTAGAGGCAGAGTTCAGGCTTTCAGATCCTGACAGCAGAGTGGAAAAGGGCTCACGGCTATAGTTGCACTTTTTTCCGAAAAACCCTCTACTAATCCCACAAGCACCCCGATCACTTGCTTAAAGGAAGCCATGCGTTACCTTGTTCTCAGGGCTCAGCTTTTTCGAGCCTGGGCTGATGTTGTCGTTTCCAGGGCCCAGAGCCCAAGCCCTGGGTTGAAACGCCCGGCAAAATAGCGAAGTCCCTGATCATCAGGAATTTGAATTACCAGCCGTCGATTATGTATACTATGCTAATCTACAGAATCTATAAGTATAACATACGCCAAACCCCGATTCCAATTATGAAGTACGCTATAGTACGGCCCGAAGCAGCAGCTGGCCTCCTCTGGATGGGGCCTCAGGAACGGCTCCGTATCAAGTAAAGGCCCTAGACTTTAAGGTTGGGGTCTACGGGGTTTAGCGTTTACCTATAGTATCCACTGTGATTCATGGTTCAGCGGAGCCTGTACTTAGGATCCTATGAGCTAATTCGAAAACGGAAGCGCAACGGACACAATAGGTATGGTAGGGGAAAGCTACACTGCTGCAATCGCTCCAAAGGCCCTCCAAACTCAGAACTAGTAGTACTGTTCCTCAGGGTTCCTTATTATCACTGTGGTAGAGTATAATTTACCCGCCAAAAGCCTTTTTCCTGTTTTGTCAAGGCTTCTATTCCACGAGCCCCGTTCTGGAACCCGGAATTCTGAACCTAATATATATATATATATATATATATATGTATGTGTCTGAACCAAGACAGGCACCAGTGACACCGGTCCAGAGTTCCCTGTAGTCCCCATTGTACTTCTTTTTTGGGTTTACCCAATCCTATATTTGGGATCGTATAAGGTAATGTAACGAACTACAGTATGTTTGCAGCATAGCCTGGGACTGAGGTCTCCTCCGGTCTAACAGCGAAGAAGGTGCCCTGGAGCTGCTCCTTGCTCAGTTGTTGCTAGAGTGGGGTCAGGATGTTTTGGCGGAGCCTGTGGAAGCCAGGGAATTTGTCTGCCCTGGAAAGTCTTTGGTGCTGGTATTTGTTCAGCTTTCTTTGAGCATCTTCAACGCCCTTACAACCGTTTATTCCTTACAACTATAACACCCGTTTTGAGACCGTACTCACCACTTCTTCGAGCCAGCGAATCGCTCCACAGGCAGAATCCTAAATGCCTCTGGATTTAGGGTTTCAGTTTAGAGTTTGGGCTCGGGTCTGATTTGGCGTAGAGTTTATGGCCTAGGAGTCTGGAGCTTATAGTACTTGTAGTATTAACTATAGTATTGGAGTGTTCTAGTATCATAGTATCATCGTATTCTAGTAGCATAGTACTCCAGAACTATAGTACCATAGTATTATAGTATCATCGGGTTTGGGTTTCTATTCGGTTTGCCAGTGGATCCACTCAGGCTCAAGGAGGCGAAGGCTTTGCTGCACACGGCAGGCCACGCTTCACTCAGATCACAACTTTCAGGTATCATACTAGCCCGAAAACCTAATCCGTATAGTAACCCATCACTTATAGTAACCCTCATAGTAAACCTTATAGTTTATTACATTGATTACATGTTTGAGCTTCGATGCCTTGTTTGAGCTACTATTTCCTGTTGGGGTCCAAGTTCTTGTGTGCTATGCTTGCTCGACTTTGCTGTCACACACGCTTTCAGAGCTGCTTAATCTTGACTTGAACTTGTGCAATACGCGCTGGTGTTTGGGCTCGTTGTTTCAAGTGTGCAGAACGCTTCACGTTCCTTAGCGGCATTGATTTAGTCAGGCATGTCCTGGGCCTGGCTCGCATCATGGTGGGAGACGCCTGCTGCGACTGCTGCTTCTAGTGAAGATGTTGACCTGATCACCTCGCGTGTGAGAGCGAATTGGTCAACTTTACAGCTTAAAGACCGCGAGCCTTTAGAAGTGCAGTTGAGTAGGGCGCTGGCTCATTGCGACTTTGCGCGAAGGCAGGCGCACCGCAGCCAACTTGAGTTGCAGAAAGTGACTCGGGAGAGGGACTGTTTGAAGAAGGCGCTGCAGGCAGCTGAGTTCAAAGGCACAGCGCTACAAGAAGAAGTACGACAGTTGAAGGCGCAGTTGGAGACAACTTGCACGAGTCATCGGCCAGAGGCAGCAGTGCAAAAAGCTGCAAACCTCTTGGTGATTGATGGATGCAGTACCACGACTGAACACCTGGTTCACGCGGCGATGTCCCTCATGCACTCCCGCCTTGAAGGATCAAGCGGTTTGGGCACCATTTCCGTGAGCCATCAGAGGGATGCCTGGTCCACTGTAGGTGAGTTCGAGAGAGGGAACTGCAAGCTTCTATCATGCGTGAATGTCGTGGCTGGTTGTGTGTTCCGTGATGTTGGATCTTCCAGTTTGTATGTGGACGGCCTCGGTTCCATTCGTAGGTCAGGCGGTGGGGCCTGTTGTGCTGCCGCCTTGCTGAATCGTGCCATCGCGGCATCGAAGAATATGATTTTCTTGACCCCTAAAGACGCCGATGCGGAGGGCTTCTGGATGTCGCAAGGTTTTAGAAGCTGTGACCCAAGAAGTATGGGGCTGGATGCTTCTAGCTTACGTGCCATTTTGGATCATGCCGGGTTGCTGGTCGACGACCTGATGGTGCGAGACTTGCGGCGCGCTCCCTCGTCCTAGAACAGTTTGCTGAGAAGCCTTCCTATGGGCTTGTCATTCGCCCGCTTGTGTCCAAGCCCAGGTCGCAAGTTGCAAAAGGATGCCGCGACCCTCATAGTAACCCTTATAGTAGCCCTTATAACCCTCTAGGAAGAAGCCAGAGCAGTCTGCGGGTCCCCCCCGTCGGAAGCGCCGTCGCTGAGGGCCTTCTTCGATGCTTTTGGCTTTTGGGGTTTCATTTCCTAGGATGCCCAGTAGTACCCTTATTCCCTTTTTGTAGTCCTAGGTTCCTTATACTAGTTTCGATGCCAATGGCAGCCCCGCTGAAAGCTTCTGAAAGCTTTGCTGCATTTTGCTGCTTCTGATCCATCGGCTGTTCGCTTCTTCTCGTTTGCAGCTACGTCTTTGGACTTTGAGGACGCCGCAAATTACATCAAGTTATCACACGGCAGAATGGGCTGTACGTGGATGTGCTTCATGACTGTGGGCGAAGAGAGTTTCTTGATTCAGGAACCCGGTACCTTCATGCTTAAGGTTGCTCGTAGCGGGATTTCGCAGTATGTGTTCAGCGATGTGATGTGCGTATGCCTGTGGTAGGAAGCCATTTCTCTTTTATGCTTGTCCGTCCGTGTACTGTCTCTTTTATCCCTTCCGTACTGCTTGAATGGTGCTATGCTGAAGCCCCCAAGCAGCTGCTAAGTGGCCGACGCCCGGAGACTTCTTAAGCAGCTCTGGCATGGCTTGCACTTTCTTCAGAGGGGCTTTGGGTTTAAGGCTGAGGGTTTGAGGTTTAGAGATTTTTTTCGACGATGACTGGCAGGCCCCAGCCGCTCAGCCGGCGTGGGCCGTGACTTCTTGGGCGAGGCTGGGAACTGTAGTTTGGGGGGATACCTTACCAAAAAGGGAACTACAATGGAGACCATGGCTTTTTCTTGTCTGCCAGGCCTCTCCGCCCAGTCAAGCGTCCGCTCTACCCGCAAGGCTGGCCGACTGTTCAGTCAGGGCATCTTGTTCCTTCTTGGGCCCTTAAAGAGCTCGTGACATCGGTTCCTTACTGTTGTGTGTCGTTCACATTTATACTACACCAAACTCCAAGGTTTACTTTAGTTCTGAGGGCTTCTGTATGATTTCCATTGAAGGTTGCTTCTCCCACAGGCCACCAGCACCTTCGGAACGTTTCCGCCTCCTCCTTCCACGGAGAAGGTTGCTCTTCTACTCTGCTCTAACCTCGATAAGCATAGCGACATCGAAGTATCATCTCGTCATTGGTCTTATGGTAATTTTACTACAACAGCTCCTCCTGCTGCTGCTACTTCTTCCACGACGACGACGACGACGACTACTACTACTACTACTACTACTACCAGCTCCGACGACAGTACCTCAAGTGCTCGTACTCGTGCTACTTCTGATGGTCGCGCTGCGAAAAGTATGCACCTCTGTTGCAAGCGCGGTTTTGATTATCGCCGCCATAGCAAGAGAGGCGACGCAATGTTGCCCAAGGGAGTAGAAGTGGGTGACCCAAACCCTAAAGGCAGTGGTGGACTTACATCTGGCACAAGCCTGGGCTCTTCGCACCGATTTTTCCGCTTAGAACCTTAGGCCCCAACCCAGACTGCTGGTCTTTCTGCAACTTCTGCAACACAAAAGCCACCAGTCAAGATGCCCTGGTATCAACCACAAATTGGACCATGCTAGACTGCTAGACTTCACACCTGACCTGAGACCAGCCAAACCCCAAAGTGAAGCATCTCTACACCCGCAAGCGCCTTGAAGTCTGGCTTTCCAAGGCCGACGCCTCCGCTCGCTTCGGACGCTTTAGCCGAGGCATCCTCTTGTTCGCATGGGTTTCAGGGCAAAGAAGATTCACAGTTTGGGGCAACGGGCTTAGGGTTGGGGTTTAAAGGCTTAGCGTTAAGGGGGGATCGGTGAAGCTGCAGCTGCTAAACCTAGATTCTCGTCCTTTGTTTAGCCTTCCAAACCATAGCACCGAGTCAAAAGAGCCCACGGACACAGGTCCGTGGCCAGAACGCGAGGTGTTTCCAATGTTAGAGTTCTTCCTCCTCAAAAGCACAGCTCTTTGTTGACCCGGTTCCAAAGATGGTAGATATCCCAGAAGTCAAGATGTAGCAGGGGGCAGGCTACCTTGAAGACTCAGGACTGCAGCCTCGCTAAGTGACTAGGTCAGGGAAGTTGCCCAGGGTTGAGGCTTATATAGACCATCGTATCTTCAGCGCGAAAGTGTCAGCGTTCAGAATGCAAGCCCAGCTGCACACCAATCCATCCACTCAAGCCCTCAGCCTCCAACCCCAGCCGTGCACGAACAACAGCAAAATCCTGAACCGAATCCCAGCCCAGCCTCGCAGCGGTTTGCCCCAAAAACATAAAGCCCGAAGGCCTCAAGTCTAAAAGCTTTACAGAGGTCCTGCGCTCTTGGAAGCCCTGGATACCTCGCCTCCCCCCCCCCCCCAGTGTTGAAGCAATCCTGGAATCCTGGGTAAACGAGCATAGACCCGGATCCGAGCCCTCTTGAGCCTAGACCGATCACAATGCCAGACATGCCCATCCTGAAAACACCCTGTTCCCATGTGGCCAGAGCATCAATTCGACAAAGCACCTTGGTGAACACCACAATACAGAGCCCCAGTACCCAGCAGTTCTCTCATCAAGTCTTCAAGGTGGTAGAGACACCGCCGAACGCGCCTTACCAATTTGGAAGCGGACTTTCCGACAGCCGAGGCTATAGTCACCCTTGTCCCACACACTTACACTGAAAATACCCTTATAGCATCCCTTATAGTATCCCTTATGGTCCCCTGAGAGGATCCGCTGCGACTTCGAGGTCAGCAGTTCATCAGCGCAGCTGCCCAGGGTGCGCAGGCCGCTGGTGGGGGTTTAGGGTTTAGGGTTCTGCGGGATACCACGGGGGATTCGGTCAGGATGTCCCTCCATCGCTTGAACACGGAGTTGGTAAGGCACTCCAGAATTTTGAAGAACAGCACATTCGGATTTGGAGCTCGTAGTTTGGCTTCAACTGCATTTTGAGTTGGTCTTGCTTGTGACTAGCAGGGCTGCGCTTCGCACACCTTCTCGTCTTGAGCTTGGAAGCATTGAGTTTTTTTTGTGTGTGTGTGGTGCGAGAGGCTTCAAAGACTCTCGGCTTGATGGTGCACTTTGGGCTGCGGGCTTTGGATAATTAGTTGTGAAGCTGCAAGATAGGTCGGATAGGGTCCAGTCCGCAGGTTCGATAGATCTAGGCGAACTGAAAATACAAGCTCATAGGCTTCAAACTTTAGGATTGTCTCTGAGGGCTTCTGGATTTTGCATCGTCAGTGTGGTAGCACGAAGCTTCGCGACAACAGCGAAAACCTTTCAGCTCTGTCCCGAAGAGGCTTTGGAAAGTCAGCATGGTTTTAACAAGAGACTGCTACCACGAGGAATGCTAGCCGAAAGCCGAAAACATGTGCCGTCGACTCGTTCAATGCGCAGGGACTCCTGCAAGCAGGGCGGCAGGCCTATGCCAAACTGGCCACGGAGCAGGCTGGCTCCGGATGACAGGAAGCGAGCCTCTGGCAAGAACCATGCCCAAGCTGGAAGGAGGGACTTGAGAGTTTGTGTCCAACTCAAGCTGGAAGGCTGGCCAGGCACATCCAGCTGCACAGCCAGCCGGGGCCTCGACAGCCAGCGTCCGAGGGAAGGTTTGTGGAACTGCCCCAGCCGTTCAAAACGATCCGATAGGTCCAATCATATTGACCGCCTAAGTTTGACGAGCCATAGGGTCATACAGCAAACGTGCACACTGGAGCTTGACAGACAGCTTTGGGAAAGGGCCCCCGCATGTCAACGCACAGTTTCTTCGGCTCTTGAGGGTACTCATCTTGTTCAGAAGTCACCATTCTGAGCCTCTTGGCCTGCTGCTGCCTGAACTTACCTCGTACATGCCAGGACTTCAAGGGCGCGCCCGGTGCAGCAAGGCCTGCGGCACTTTCACTCACCAACCTTCTCATCCTATCCTGCAAGTGCTCGAAAACTACGACTCCAAAACACCGCACACAAATGCTAGTAGTCGTACATGTCAAGCAATGGTAGTCGTGGTGGCAGTATTCCTGGCCGCCGTCGTGCGCATCGTCGTACGTTGCAGTCGTAGTTTAGTTAGCTTTTACATAGACTGGTTGGGCGGAGTGTTTTGCTGTGGCTTCCCAAACACCCGCCTCGATTGACATTAACGACACTACTTGTAGCTTGTGGTAGCGCCATGCAGCTCAGCTCCAACCCCCACTTTCGGGCTCAAGAGTCAGCCAGCGTAAAGCAAAGACAGGATGCAAACCGATGCCGTTCCTTCCGTCTCCTTACTCCACATTGAACTATAATGCGTGGCATAGGCAGCCAGAATAAGAAGCATACGCGTCTTCTGTCTTTGTCATGCACGGAGGCCTGCCGGAGCGTCCTTGACCCAGGCATCCGCAAAAAGGGAAGTGCTATCACCGGAGTTCATCTAGGAGGTCTGCTTCCTCCTCCATGGAAGTTTGTGGAGTGTTACACTAAAAGGCCCGGCCTTTGACTCCTTATTTGGAGGGAGCTCGGGGACCTGGACTATTAGCATGGGCTTTTTCGTGTGTGCGGTTGCATAAATATCAAGCAGTACATGCGTTTAAACCCGGGCAGACGCTTTGAGTGAGGCACGAAGTTCAGGGCCATTGACTCCGCCGCAGCTTGCTTTTCCAGCCTTTCAACCCTACTCCTAAGCTGACAACGTGACCTCAAAGCTTCACAAGCCCTGACTCTGGCCCAGAGCATCGCCAACTGGGTGGACATTGACCTCTGGACGGTGCTTTGCCCAGCGATGGACATTTCAGAGTTCCACAGCCCAGTTACTGAATCAAATTCGGGAAGCATGAGTGGAAGCATGGACCATGGACCAGCTTCAGCACGTGTTGCAGTGGTTGCCGCCCCTTGAATCCATCCTTCTCTTTACACCATGTGTTCCTGATGTCAGGAACACCCGAGCAACCACTGTAGCA